CCCCCCCGTCCCTCACGAAAGTTACATAGTATTAAAGGAATAAGTAGAATTCTAGATGCTTTGGCATAAGACAAATAATTCTACCTCAAAATCTTCAAAATGAAGTTTATCGGTGCTCAGACTCAGTTGGACATTTTCCATTGGTTTCCTATTGGGTTTACACGGACGAAAAACACGATAAGAAACTTGAGTTATGAAATAAGACAGCAAAGAAACGATAAGAAAGACACACAGGAAAAGAAAGGAAGGGAAGAAAAGAGAAAAGAATGAATGAACGAATAAGAAAAGAAAATCAGTTCCAGTCCTTCACGGTTTATGAATAAATTAACACTGCCATCAAACTTTTCCCGGGTATTTTTTGTCTTGAGAAAAAGATTTCTTTGTCAGCTGATGAAGTGATTCTGCTTCAAAAACACTTAAAATACTTCAGTAATCATTCGTGAAGTATGTCTAGCTGCTTATCCCATCGTGGAGAGCAGTTGTTGAAATGTCAGCCGTCTCTTAGTCATCCTGTGTGTAAGACAACTTGTCAAAATGTCTTCCATCAACGAACAAACCCACAGGTAATAGTTCTTGAATCCTGCAGCTCTGTTCTTCTCCTCTTAAAACACTTCAAGATCCTTCCTTCCTGGTGCAATATAATAATTCTTGATACAAAGATATTGCCTTAGTTTGTTGAATCGTGAGAAATTTATTAAGAAATCTTTTCGAAGGATTTTGCACTTGTATCGAGAGTTAATCCATCGAACATTTCCAACAAAATCACTCAAAAATATGAAATTATGAACAAATTTAGCTACATCCTCAATCATTGTTATCATTAATGACATTTGAAGAATATATCTGCAGAATATATAATTTTTGAAAATCAGTATTTTCTGGTATCTCTTAGGGTGTCGGAAAAGGAGAGAAGCGCGCATCGATATGGCTTATCCTAGACGCTTTTTATATAAAATTTAATATTATTTGTTGTGATATCTCTTAGGGGTTAAAGATCATTCAGCCACGCCCTTTTTTAAAGACTTCCGGTATCTTTTAGGGGGCCTTTTTGAGAATTTCTGACGAGCATCCCTGGTACTGTTTTTCCCAGAGGCCCCCCCCGGGGTTTGATAACAGAAAAGCTGAGCACTTCCTTTCTTTCACTTTGTTGCGTATGTGTGAGGTAACCAGTGTATGGACAATAATTCTTGAACAACTTTACTAATTACCACTTACTAATTGTTGCTCTTTCTTCCCTTGCTGCCCATGTATATGAGTACGTACTGATACATTGAATGGGATACACTTGACTTGAAAAAAATACTTTGGAGCTAGCCTGTGACCAAACTGCACCTGATCCAGGGCTGGCCATGCAGGCTCTTAGCAACCATTTAAATTTGACTTAAATGTAGTGCCTTTTCAGAAAGGATTATTATCAATTGGCCTATTTCACTATGACGTCACATCAAAACATCTATTGTTTAAACGCAAAGGATCATGGTCGTCGGAGGGGGTCAAATCAACACAAATTCACCGAAAATTGTTCTAAAACCTGTATCAATCCATGAAGAGAAGTAGAATAGCCAGCAAACACTCAGAATATTTTTTAGTACATATTAACATATGTTATATCTGAAAACCAGGCCATTTTAGATTAAATTGTTTCGCTAGGAGCAAATTTTGTTGAATTTTCTATTGGATTTGGCGATTCTATCCCCCACATAAACAAGCAGTGACATCATAGTGAAATAGGGCAATTTGATATTAAATGATTTGAAAAACTTTTAGCATTGCCAAGTTTCATATCGTGGAAGAAATGGGTTTTAACAGCACACAAAAAGGATGTCATGAATATCTCTATATCTATTGATTTCTGTTTATTTGTTTATTTATGGAGCTCATAAGATTGTATTATACAACTGCATTCATTTTCTCCAGCATGGTCAACAGTTGTCCAGTATCCCATGCAGTCCTTTCACTCCATATGAAACCTTACAATGCTTCTAGTCTTTGATCAATGCTTTCATTAATTGTGCTTTTTATGTTTGTAGGGGATTATCAATTTAGGAATGAGTGAAAATAAATTAATGTATGATGTCTTAAAGACAAAGGTAACATTGAGTTATAATAAGATGATGTTGTATGCTTCCAGTTTGGGGTCCAAACCTCTTCCATAGACTAACACTGAACAGATTTGTAATTCCTAAGAGTAGTCGTGTTGGAAGGAGAAGAGTTGGGGGTTCTGGGCTTTTAAGTAAAGGACAGAATAAACCTGTCTCTTTACCTTCTAGCTGAGTGGTAAACCAGGGGGCACAAAGCATGTGAGTGGACAAAATGACCAGCCCTAATAATATTATTATAAGCATTCTTGGAGCTTGAAAGAATGAAGCAAACATGGCATTGAAGTGAAATTGTTTTTATTCTTCCTTTCCATATTTATGCTTCTTGTAAGCATGTATGTCTTTATTTTAGTTACAGTACAGTAGCCTGGGGATAAGGGGTGGCAGCAAAACAGCTAAGCATGCTGTGATTGGCTGAAACAAAATTCACCATTTAGCTGGTCATGCATTATGTTTTAGTTATTTCAGATCATTTATCATTCCCTGATGTATTATTTCTTTGCTTACCGGCGTTTGCATTGCTACGCGGGCATCCAAGACAAAAATCGTGACATGCACTTTGTAATAGACTGCCGTCAATCAAACACCTTGACACCATTGTGTGATTCAAAAGGTGCCAAAACTTGTCGATTGTTTACAAGTATTATGAGCCACTCACTGGGCCTATCCGGGCCGATCCAAACTCATGTAAATGACGTCAACTTCTTTTATTGATGGCAGTCTATTGCAAAGTGCACGTCGCAATTTTTGTCTGGGGTGGCCGCGTAGCAATGCAAACGCCGGTAATTGCTGTACGTGAGAAGACACATGAATGTGGATACAACACACTCAAACAAATTATTTTATTCTCAATAGAGTAACATGTGGTCTTAAATATATGCCTGTGACGCTAAAGAAGTCTATTCAAACCTAGCTTGAACAGGACTTCTTGCGGATTTGTATATGTATTTTTAGCATTAATAAACGATAAAAAAAACTAATAAATGTTATATTAATGACAATTTCAATATTAGTTTGAGGAGTCATGTGACATCGAGGAACATCATACTCATTACTGTGACTTTGGAGGACTATCAGAGTAAGTATTGCACAGCCTGTGGTTTTGACAATCAATTAGTATTTTATACAAGTCATGTATGCCTATTTCAGGGCTTAAAATAATGGCTGCTCATCAGACAATGTCTGGCCAAAATTATAAATTGTCCAGTCAAATGTTTGCCTTGCTGGTCATTTTGACCATCAACATTGAGCCAGAAATGAGGTATGACCACTGAAGGTGAAACTACTACACCGGGCCAGCTAGTGATGTATCACTGGTGACTGATCAGCCATTACCTTTTAAAAGTGCTGCTCTTTACTACATTTTTCAGCTATTTCTCCCTAGAGCTGCAAACAAATGAAAAACTTATTGAAGTATTAGTTATATTGGTAGATAATAAAGATTTTCTGCCTATATTTTTCCACTGTTTGTCTCTCCTTCCTACTAAATCTATTCCTCTCTGCTTGGCACTGTTAAATGTACTTGCATACATCACTACCTTAACTTGTGTTAAAATTGTTCAGGTTCAAGAGAGGGATAGCAGACCTTTTTGATCACATGATGAAACCAGTAGAACCAGTCGATCCAAGCAATGTAAGGAAACTAATATTTAAAAAATCTCTATTAATATTGAATTCAACAATTTATGTAAGTCTTGCAGTGAGACAACACCAACCAAGGCCATCCAGACAAATTTTCATACAAATTAGCCAATCATGATTGAGTATTTAAACAATAGAATTCTTTTGAATGTTCATATTTTTTTCTTTAAAAGCATATTTATTTTACTCTATACAAGTGGGTGTTTGGTCTGAGATGCTGAGGTGTGAACATAAAAAGTCAAATTCCAGAATTCATTTGTTATTCAGTGTCAAAGATGTGATTTTTAAATTTGATTTAAAATTTATTTGGGTGGCTTTGGTTAATTGCACTGTAATATATTATAAACCAATATAATTATAAGAAGATATAACTAGTTAAAAACTAGTGTGAGCTGCGTCGGTGTTTCTAATGAAACAGTAAATAAATGATGAAAAGGTAAATCATACACCGTGAAAAGATGAAAAAACTGACGTTTCGGACGCTAGTCCTTCGTCGGAGTAATAATATACTTATAAATGTGTACTAGTAACTAGTAAATAAGGGGAATGAATGGAGGAGCCATGCGCAGACAAGAATCGCACCTGATACATAACCATAGTTACCTTATTTCTATTCCAGTTGTTAATTCTAAATGGATGTTGTTCAGTAGTGGAAGCATTGACTACAGTATTGACTGATCCTG